GTGGTCTAACATTGGTCGATTCCTAAATTTTTAGGATATTCATCCAATATGCTAAGAGAATTATTGGTCTATTCCTACTGGTCAATTTCATGGTCGTCCTGGATACCAATGTCACGTGCTCCAATGTTGTTCCTTATTAGTTGTCCTGACTATCAATGTCACTTCAAATATTGCTTCCTATTGGTAGTCTTAACTGTCAATGTCACAGAATTCGATGATGTTTCCTATTCGACCAAAATGTTTAAATACGCATTATCTGTAACGCTTTATGACCAGGACCAGGACAAGGACCCGGTCCCGGATCCCTAGTCCGGGATCCTGATTCACTTCTGGATTCGGACCTCGTACTTTCCAGTGGTGGTCTAACATTGATCAATTCACATGATCCCAATGAAACTCGTCAATCTCCACAATCATATCATGACAGATAAAAACGCGATTTGTAATTAAACACTTCCATTCGTCATTTGCGCCTATTTTGAAGAAAAAACTTACCACTGTGTATTGATTCAATATTGATTATTTTCGATCATGACATTGCCAGTTTAACATCCATCAATATTTTTAAAGAAGTCATACTCGTTAGCCTTTCAAACTGATGTGATGATCAATTTTTCATTGACCAGTTTCTCATTTAGATCATACTTGACATATGTTCTCAAGTGTCGTTTCATCTTGTTAATGTTTTAATGTGTAACTCTGATTGATCTAGGGACCTTTAGCGCGACCTCACGTATTTGTCTTTTGTAGTTACTGTCTACACCAGACAAGGTTGAACTCCATTGATCACGTCTCCTCACTGGAACTGCGAGAATTTCCTCACGAAGCTAGTCACTAGTTAGACATTAACACCGTCGGATGTCGGCCCAGTGATATGATTGTTAGACGTTCGCGCACAATACCGAAGATCCCGGGTTCGGATCCTGTGAGGTGCATGAGTCGTGGATGCGCACTTCTGATGAGTCCCATACCAGGACGAAACGGCCGTCTTTCTGTGCTTCCATGAATTTTTTATCTGCTCATTGTTAATTTCATGTTTTCAGCTGGAATAAACTCTATCCATGCTTGGTTTATATCCCCGAAAACATAAGTTTTCAGTTACCGAAATCAACAATTTCACACACAATCTGAAGCAAAACCGTAATCGGACTGCTTTTAGTTTAAACAGTTTAACTACTGATGTAACACTAAAAGTAGTGTTAAATGAAAAGGGTAAAAATAAGCCAATAAAATGAAGTATACATGTGATTCTTTAACCAACTATTTCCAATCATGACAGTGACAAAAATCGGTGAAAATTTATATTCTAATCACTAAATAATCAGTCAATCAGTCAGTCAGTTTGAATTTGACTCAGTGAACATTTTTAATGTGTTCAATCTTTAGTAAAAGATAATATGAAGTCAGGTGACTTATGTTTCAAGTAATTCACAACGTGATGTCAGAAATGCGGCTCTTGACATAAATTTTCCTTGAATATCTTCCCGGCTGATCAATTCTAGGTGGAAGAAAGAGATGAGACTTATCCCGACCAAGTTAGAAGTAAATCTCATGGTAAACGATGGTAAATTCGTGAAAACTGCGTGAGATGTTTCAGTCTGTCTTCATAAGATAAGTCAGTGATAACTTTAACCATTTCGGTTTCTCGATGCTTGCCTACGAATGTATCTACTTCATAGTTGAAATAAGGACTCACTGCTTAAAAAAATTTTGTCCAGTGAACCGAGCAAGTTTTTAATGCTGGTCTAACAATGATCGATTCAAGATTTCAACCCCCTGACTGACCCTCATTTATCCAGGCTTGAGACCGGCAGCAGCCGCAAAGTGGCTCCAGGCAGAGTTTTGAATGATGATGATGACTTTCTGTAAAGTAAAACGCAACCAGTATGTATATTGACTCCTTGAAAAATTTTAGGTGATTATCAGTGAATTACTATTCAGTTTACATAAATTATTCAAGCGTTAAAGGAAAACCAATAAATTTTCGAAAGCTTTAAAGTCAACGGTCAAATTCAGTTAAGTTATACTATAACGGAAGATATTTGGAAACCATGAAAACAACTTGAAAATGCTCATCCTCTCATGAAGTTCGTTAATTATTTAGCGTTTATTGTAGGTACGATTTCACTTTGAAGTAGCGGTGTAGTGAAGGAGAACACAGGTGAGGGCAACCAAATTGTATTTAACAAAAATTACAGAGTTAGTTACTCATTAAAATAGGAAAACCATATCGTAAACAGTTAATTTGCAAATCTTCAATCCATCATTAATCCATTGTCTGACATTTCACTTATTCATGCGTTTCATACAAATTCCATTGTGTTTCCACTCTTCCTTTATTGATCTTCCCCCATCTTCTATTGCCAGACATTACGTTTACACTCGCGTCATATACTACTTATAAGTAGCGCGCACCACAGCGGGTTTTCCGTTTAAATTGATATCTGTAAAATATGGTAAAAGCTGTTGCTGCAGCTTCTCAGGGTCTAATGCCGGTTTCAAGATCAGATAATTAGGAAGGGTTTGGCGTGAGGTTAGCCACCATATCTCGCTTGAAAAACGCTAATCAGAAACATATCTTAATAGTATAGCAAACTGTAGTGAAGGAGAACATAGGTGGGGCAACCGAACTGTATGTAACGGAAATTACAGAGTTACTCAGTAAAATAGGAAAACCATATCATAAATCGTTAATTTATTTGCAAAATATCAGTTCATCATATCGAACAGGACTGTTCCTGTTGCAAAACATCAATCCATTGTCACTACTATTCATGCGTTTCATACAAATTCCATTGTGTTCTTCTAACTCTTCCTTTCTTGATCTTCCCCCATCTTCTGCTGCCAGACATTACGTTTACACTCACGTCATATACTACTTATAAGTAGCGCACACCACAATACAACAGACCGATATTGATCAGTTGAACATATTTTAAGATTCAAAAATGAATTATGCCAATCTCTTGTGCAAAACAGTCGGATAGCTAATATCTTGAATCTGATCACTTCAAAACTGTATGATAGCTGACATTTATTCTCTTCATATTTCAGAAGAAAAAATAAACGCACTCACACGGAAGAATCATTTTCCATCTGAATGAAGTGACATGACTATCATCAAAGTAAGGTATTGATGTCAAGGTTGAATTTGAGCAAGTTTCAAGTAAAATTGAGCATTGACTGGAAAATCGATCGTGAAGAAATGATGTTTTAGTGAATTGGTGATGTTTTATGACCTAAAATAAGTCATTTCTTCAGAGCAAATCAATCAATAATCACATTAAACGAACGCACGTTTAAATGGTATGAAGCTATAGGACTTAAGTAAATTCAATGGAAATCATATTAAGTTTGATTAATTACTTACTCCTGTTTCCTCCAAACTACTCTGTCCTGGGCTTCCCTTTGCAGTTCTGTTCAATTTTTGCTCATTCTTCTCATATCTTCCTCTATTTCTCGGCATAATGTGTTTCTTGGCCTTCCTCTTTTCCTTTTGCATTGAGGGTTCCATGTGAGGGCTTGGCTTGTGACGCAGTTAGGTGCTTTCCACAATGTGTGTCCTATTCACTTCCACCGATTCTTCCTGATTTCCTCCTCCACTGAAGGAATCTGGTTTGTTCTCTTCCACAGTATGTTATTGCTTATCGTGTCTGGACAACGAATCCGGAATATTTTACGTAGACAAGCGTTAATAAACACTTGTATCTTCTGGATGATGAAAACCATATCGTAAACGGTTAATTTGCAAATCTTCAATCCAATTCATCAATCCATTGTCTGACATTTCACTTATTCATACGTTTCATACGAATTCCATTGTGTTCCCACTATTCTTCCTTTCTTGATCTTTCCCCATCTTCTGCTGCCAGACATTACGTTTACACTCACGTCATAAACTACTTCAAAAGTAGCGCGCACCACACTACCACTATGGAAACTGAATGGACAATTTCATCTCTGTGTACTAAGATATAGTATGGCAACTTGAACTGATGTACACTCATATACGTACAAAGTTCCATGTTATAGCTAGCTGACTGACTGATCGACTGCCATAAAAACATAAAATCAGATCAGATTCAGACAAGAATTAGATCTCAATCACGTAACTTCATTCTGTTTATCATATCAGCTAATTTTTCAATATTTAAGTCATATTACCTGATCAATATCTTTCAAAAATTTTATCAGTACTTAACAAGACAGTGAATTATCTCAAAACAACAGTTCATGCGTTGTTACTTTATTAGTTCAACTAAAAATAGTTAGTTTATTTAGGCAAGTAAAGAAAATCAATTAACAACGATTCATTCTCAATGTTAGAATGATTCTTTGAAAATTCTGAACAATTTCAGCCGAAAAAAAAATCAATGCCGATCTCTTATTTTAACACACAGTGAGTGAACTTAACTGTCTGTGGATATGAAATAAAAGATGTTTGACGTAGTTGTTGTAAATTCTAATCAACTAAAGAAAGATAAACGTAAAAGTTGAATCTGTTTTTAAAAACACAAATTTAGTAAGTTTTTTTAGCTTTACAGTTAACAATAGTCTGAACATACAGGATGACTCTTAAGACTTTGGTAACATAGCGACCCTTTTCTGTAAGATTCCTCGTATTTCACTCTGACCAAGGCCTGGCATATGAAAGTCATCTCATTGCCGAAATATGCAAGTTATTAGGA